GTAAATACATTTATAAAACTTATTAATAATGCATAAGCTATYGCTCCAATAAGGGCTGACCATTTAATCAGGTGATTGACCTWGTAAATCTGATACAACCACTAGTGTTGTATCAGATTTACAACACGGTCGTCACCATTGAGACAACCCAACACTAGCAAAGGTCTTAGTTTTAGTGTCGCATCATAGACCTTCACTAGGTTTTGAAGCAATCAAAGACGGATAACAGAACTCGCTTATGAAACAGATGGCTTGCTTTCCATGTGGGATGGATAATTATTCAAAATGTTCTGTGTTGCAGTAAATTGCGCATGCTTAATAGGGGCTAAACTCAGCAGTTACCTTATTTGTCATTTTTCGTCATTTATCTCACTGTAATTCATGTTAATTTGTGTTGGAGTTTTATAAGTCGTTTACAACATTCGCGTCCGTGTTGTATGGGAATTACAATCTCTCGCCTGCGGCTCGAGATTGTAATTCCCATACAACACGGCCGCTCATGTTGTAAACTATACATACATTAGATTGTCAAAATTCATACCCACACTTAACAAAATACAATATTGCTGCATTTCTTGATTTTTTTTTTATTATAAGGGCAAACGACGAGGATGGAAAACCTCAAAATCAGCTTCAGCAGCCTGGTTTAATGTAGTAGTATTTGTTTGTAACAAGTGTTTACCAAAGGCTAGAGCAGACTATCTACTTTGTACCTTTTTATTAACCCTAGGCTCTTTGGAAGTTGGTATATTGGCTGCATTCTTAGCAGTTTCGCTTCTGATCAACATCCTGATTGTAGTTTTCATCGCAGTCTGGAAACTTAGGACTAACAAACAAAATAATGTCAAGTAAGTACCAAAAATCCTAGGAGATGGTAAAATAACACGGCTGCCTTCTAGACCAATGACCATCGAACAATTGGGTCACATGATGGGCCTTTATATCCCGATAAAGCACTGATGTTTTATTAATCAGTTCTATTTAACAATTAGACCTCGAGGTCGAGTGGACTACGAGCTAATAGCCCATGAGGCCGAGTCCGTTTGTTTTAGTATAAACATACTAATCGGTCAAATAATGAAAACAAGTTGAAATATCCTTAAAATAATTTATAAWTTGTTTATTTTGATTTTACCTCGAGTGGTCTATCACAAATTAGACCATTAGTRGAGTAGCCAATCACAGCGCAGTATGAGTGATAGACCGTTAGTATGTTTATACTAAATCAGATATATATACTAAACTKATTTCCAAGTTCATCAGCACTTTATCGCGACCCAACACTAGCAATGGTCTCAATTTTAATGTCGCATCATAGACCATTGCTAGATTTTAAATCAGTCTAAATGAATCTGGAGACATGTAGTTAAGCATAAACTAGCCGTTCTTCCGTGTGGGATCAAAATTCTTTCAATTGTGGCACAATGCATGCACATGCTCATTAGAAGTTWAATATGCATTACCACTGTGATAACAATTTCTGGATGTTGGAGTTCTAGCGGCTCGAATCTATATATCCCGAAAAAACACGCAATCTATAGTTCTATAATTAAAAACAACACATATAAAATTCCCTTGATAAGATTTATGCACGTTTTAGTGATTGAACATTTTTAATCAATCAAAAAATACATGTTAGCGACTGACCTTGCATCCAAGCAAACATTTTTCTTTCTCCTTTTCCCCATTTTAGGAATGAAGATGCCCCAGTTTACTATGTGAGTATATCACACTTCTTTTCTTATATAACTTTGAATGATGAATCGAGGACATTATGCTGTGATAGTTGCCCGTGAAAACTTGATGTTCCGAAAAACAAATAGTCGCCTGAGAGAACGCAGTTTGACCATGAAGTTCTGAAGAACATCCAGTTTCCAAGTGCAATTACCACAGCAAAATACCCGACTGCTCTATTGTTTTCAATACCCAAAAACAATTTTATGAAGTGTCAGTCAAAGTGTGATATGGAGGATTACGGTGGCTTTATTTTAAAGACACTGCCCAGTCCTCTGGACTGCTCACACGGTAATKACAGGGCTAACTCTGTATCAAATATCATTTTACAGAATGCAGATGCCCTGGAAATGGTATCSTCGTCTTCAACAATGAATCAACAAATTAGTTCAAATCCTGGTCAAGAATATCAAGAAAGACGAGAAAGTACAGGGAACAGTAACCAAAATCAGGATCATTACCAGCAACTCAACCCTGACACCCTACAAAGCAATACAGATGCCGCACCAACATACGAAACACTAAATGGTGTCAGGATTGGTGAACGTAATGATCAGCACACTTATCAATCGCTGCTTAATCAGCCCAGGTTTTACCAGAGCCTGCAAAGTTATGCTAACGTAGACACTGCGTGACTTGGATAAAATAGCCAAGAAAAAAAACAATAGTAAAAATGATTTAAAACTGTTCAATTAATTAATAGACGAAATTTTTTGCTTTTAATTTTTTTTCCTTTCTGTAATTTATGTGTAACACAGCCGTAAACAAAGTTTTGTTTGCTCCTTCTCCTTTCATAATATGTCTTTTATTACAAGTATTCTCATCTTTGAACGACATATTTTAGTCATGATGCATCGTAATAAATCGATCGAAGACCGTTGGAGGAAAGGGCTTCAACTTTCCGATACATTGCAATAAATATGGTTCATCATGATAGAATGTTCATTGCATGGCCAAATCGGTATTTATTATTCACCATTAGAGTGTTTGTGAACAATAAGAAAAAAAAGGCGCTTAAAAAGCGCATGTGGTTACTCCAAAAACTGTTGTTATGAATATTTTAAGATTTTAATATTGTGCTGTGTGCAGGGATGAATATTTAAGTAATTTAAGTTGACGATCTGATTTGGGAATTGCTGCAAATATGTTGGTGTCATGGCAGACAGGTTTAAAGTCTTGGGACGGGTGACAGTTAACTGATGACATGTTACCTACTAAWATTACAATCGTTTAAAGACGGGAGAAAGTAGAGTGTGCTCGCACTTAAAGCGTGAAACAAATAGTACTAATTACTACTAAATAGCGTTGATTATAGGAAACAAAGAAATTTGTAGTCAGTTTCAATGTTGCACTGTTACAATTTTGGTGTTGGTATTGAATTTAATGGTTCAAGGTCCAATACCTTGTCTGGCAAACAATCATGTCTTCAATAATTCTATTAAGGAGTTACTGAATAAAGTGACAATGACATCTGGGATGCACTAATAGTATCATGGACTAACATTTTTTTTGTTTTTTTTTTGCACAATAGGAATGAGCCTATTTTTTTCTACTGTGAAAATCTTGCATGTAATAGTTGTATGTGCTTGATGTGTTCCTGATAGCTGTTCAAAGGGTCATTTTCCTCAATTGCAGAGCCATTCTTGGTAGTATTAATACATACACCTGAAAAATTAAGGAAACAGTTATTAATTTATGAAAGTTATCAGAAATATGAATCAGTGAGGGTAGAGTGCTTATGTCCATCAGAGTAGAATAACTTGTATCAATAAAGTAGTTTCAATTTAATTGTGAAAGGTTTTTGATAGTTGTTATTACTTACTCTTTATGATATTATTTTATTCTGAACCAACAAATACTATTAAGTCCCGGGGGGGGACTCCCTAATATCAAAGAGCGGGGGTCCTCGGCGTCCCTTTTAGGGTTTGAAATCAGTATTTTGGTCCCGCTTAGGGTGAACATGACAAGAATTCCTACCAACTGAGTTTTGTGGTCCCTTTTAGGGTATACGGCGACCCTAAGCAGTCATAAAATGGCAACGTCGTCATAAACTCAATACGAGCCGACGGTGTTCGATGATTGTGTAAAAACACAAATAAAATCGGTAAACCAAAACAAAATGATCTGTTATTGATTGGTCCCTTTTAGGGTTGAAATTTCAGCACTGCCACGCCCATCATCTCACAATAGAGGTCCCTTTTAGGGGTCATTTTCACAATCTCCGCCGAGGACCCCCGCCCTTTGATATTAGGGAGTCCCCCCCGGGTATTAAGTGAATACTTGTTCTTATTTGCAAATGGTAATGTCTTAGTCAGCTGTTATATGATTTAAAAGGTTTTTAAAACTTAGTTCTTATAATTAGACTCCCTGTTTTGGTTGATATATCCTCAGGAGGTTGATTTAACCCACAATGGGGTTTATTCACTTTGTATTTGATTCGTTTTTGGCAGTTATTAGTTATTTTTTGGCATCTTTTGGTTTTCTTTTTGTTTGTCTGCCATTAGGAACACAGGGTTTTTCGATATAAACAATCGCTATCGATCGTGGATTTATCCTGTTTTTCGGACATAAAGATCGGACTAAATTGTGAAAAACATTTAAAAAAACTTTGATCAATACAGTCAATACTTTGATAGATAAAGAGAGATAAAGAATATTTATAAAAAACAAAATTAACTTTACTTACCAATGCAAGTTATAAACCGCGACGACGAAGGTGAGCACGTGGAAATCTTGACTCCTGAGCCAGTGTTTTTCTTTGTCAGCATCGTTGGCTAGTTGGCATGGCAATGCAACGTCATRAGTGAGACAATCACATGACCTTACGGACTTACTAACAACTCGATAACAAAGTGGTTACCCGTCTTAAAGACGGAGTAACGACAAAAAGAAGCAAGCAAAGACTATCAAAATTTAGAACTGGTTTCAGTTTCGTGTGCTCTGAAGTGATGAATACTTTTAGAATCCAAATGAATCTAAATCTTCAGTTTATGCTATCAAGAAGCCTCTGAAAAGCGAGTTTTTGATTCCATCAGAAAGCTCTTAGTTCCCAGTTCTTGAGTCGCGTAAGTTTCTGGTGGACAGCCAGACCGATCCCGTTTTGGATAGGTTCGTGCCGCCAGTGGTCTAAAACCCTGACCCTGTTTAAGACACTAGAAAGTGAAAATCCATACCCTGTTCAAGACAAATCGGAAAAATAAGGAATAGCTATCTACGCCGMAACCATCAAAACTGCAATTATACTTCCATCAAAGACAATAAGAAGTTTTTGATAACACGTTAACCCTGATACAGTGAAACGGTATTTGTACGGTTTTTCTTATAAAAATATTACCCTGTCCAAGACACAAAAAAATTATATCGGTCTTTTATCTAATTTGTAGAGCCTGTTTCGAATGAAATGTATACCCTGTTTAAGACAGCAAGGCCAAAAACCATACCCTGGCCAGCGGCATGTCCCCGTATAGCAAATATATAGGAGTAACCGCCCCCTTCCTCCCCCCTCCTCGGACAGCCAGTTAGGGAACTTCAGATTTGTCAACGAGTACGAGATTGARTACGAGTACGAGTTTTCAAACCAGCTTTTTGTTGTGTTGTCCATACCGGATTTCAATCCACTTCATGTTTTTATTTCTTTGATCTTTCAGTCTACTCGCAGGAATGCAATTCATGATTAATAGCATACTTAAGGCCAATTTAAAAACTCGTACTCGTACTCAATCTCGTACTCGTTGTCAAATCTGAAGTTCCCTACTACTAGTAAAGAAAGCACCGCGACTCGTGCGATATCGTTTTTCTCGTGAATTTCATCATGAAATTCCCTCTCCATCCAATTAATTTTCCTATAAAATATTAGCATGCTTAAATACCTCTAAATATATACATAAAAAATAAAGATCCTTAATTCTTATGACATATAAAAACGTTCACATTGCTAGCGACCAGAATGTCTTCAATTGACTGTATTTTTGAATGAACAGAGATCATGTCCAAAGCACACTTTCTGTAGAAAATTTATAATTTATTAGTAGTTTTCTTGAAACTACATGTAAATTCAAGGGTTGACTCTCGCTACGACATAAGCATAGCAATAAGCATAAGAAAAGAACAAAAGACAATTAASAAAAAAGAAAAAAACAAAGAAAAACAGCTTTCTTTTGTCTGTTTTATTCATTTTAGTCCCTAAATCTATTGTATTTCATTTCTTATGCACAATAGTGTAAATTGACGTTTAGCGGCATCAAATGATCTCGTATCAACGACATGAACGATAAGAGAATATAATAATAACAACATAAAAGGCCTTATATTGTCCGGTGTGTAAGACTCTTCATTCGTAGATTTATGCGACTTTAACGACTTATTTCAGGAAGCGGTGCATTTATATTTATAKTGCTTTTGGTTGGAAAACATTATTTTACTAAAGCAGCTCTCTCTTGAAGATAACAAGCGCGGATGTACGTTTGCCGGTAATTCCCAACTAAAATATCTTCTTGATAAATACTTTTTTACCACACTTGCTTGTGTAAATTCTCGTGCGCTGAGAGGATGATTAGAGTCTGTCAATGATAGGACATACACACCGARATCACACCAGCGCACTTGACAGAAAAGAATGATTTTCGACTTTCATTTTTAGATTTCGACTAACAATGCGGTCAAAAACAAATTGCAAGCTGTTTCGCGTTTCCGCGTGTTGGGTTTACTGCAAAGAATCAATGAGTTCTATGGCGACTCTACGCCGAACTAATTTTTTGCTGCACCGAATTCAAGTTTGTATTGTTTAATATGTGAAAGTCATTGTTTTGATCTCATTTGCATTAGGAGCGACTTTTATTCCGTACTTAATGCAAACGACTCAAACCCATCCGCTATTTTCTTAGGAYGAAAACATGAAAATTCTTTCAAAAACTCATACATAATTAATGAGCTACTAGGCAAATAGAATGAGCCTATTTGGTCACATGCATGGACCTTTATATCYGATMAAACACTCMTTATTAGTATTCTTTATATAAAGAATACTAATWAGGGTGACCTTTATCAGATATAAAGGTCCATGATCCTAGCAAAGGTCTCAGGTTTGATACCTGATCATTGACCAATGCAGTATGTCAACCGAATTGTAGTAAACAGCCAAGAGCGCTTCTATTTCACTTTATGTGTATTCAATATGGGATGACAAGAGTGCTTTTTTAAGTGATTCGCGCATAATCAGTTTGCCCCATTTATCTCAAAACATATTTTTACGGCAATTTCTCCAAGRATTTTAACGGATTTGAGTTTCAAATTAGTGTTGGAGTTTTTGAAGCCGTTTAAAACACTCTCTCTTGTGTTTTAAACTATACATGTAGCCAATGACAACTTGACAGCTCAAGCGATGACTGGCTGTGAATGAAAGAAAGTATTGCGCATGCGTATAACCGTGGATCTGGAAAACGTGATACACAGGAAGCCTGGCTTTGTGTTAGAKAGATCTTTGCCCAAGTAGTGCCCTAATAAAATCCTACAAAAYCCGTATTAATCGTATACAACTAGTTGCCTGCAAGAAAGTAATGTGCTGCGAGCGGTACGGGGTTTGGATTAACCAATTTATATTAATTTTGTGCATATCAAACTTATTGTCATACATCGGGTGACATTTGTTTAGACGTCTTAGATTAGATCTTTTGATATGTTATAAATGAAGAGGCCGAAAAAGTACGATGGCCGAGAAGGGCCGGAAATCAGAAGTCGGAAATCGGAAGTCGGAAGTCTGAAATCAGAAGTCCGAAATCGGAAGTCTGAAGTCCGAAATCAGAAGTCGGAAATCGGAAATCAGAAGTCCGAAATCGGAAATCAGAAGTCCGAAGTCGGAAATCAGAAGTCGGAAATCGGAAATCAGAAGTCCGAAGTCGGAAATCAGAAATCAGTTATTATACTTAATGAAAATAAAATATTTAATATTTGTAGTTAGTGTTAGATTACACCTTTCATTATGCAAACAAGACCGAAAAGAAATGGTCTGATGGTATTGACATAAAGAAAGCACAATTATATATTTTAGTACATACTTGTATAAAAGTAAAAAATGATCAAAAGAAAAAGAAGGAAAATAAAGTAACGTTTACTATTTAAATAGTAAAATACTTTTTTTAAGGAACCATAGTGATCTCGGAAATCAGAAGTCCGAAATCGGAAATCAGAAGTCCGAAATCGGAAGTCGGAAGTCGGAAATCAGAAGGCCCTTCTCGGCCATCGTAAAAAAGAGCACAAATACGTCATTTTTTAAAAGAATATATATGTTTATCGGTCATTAGAAAAGCAAAAAGCTTTAAGAAAATATCTCGGGTTTTGCTTTCCGAAACCCTGGGACTCTTCAACAATAGCTTTTACTTCAATAGCCTTCATAAGAACAATCAAAACCACAGGCATAAATCGCTCAAAATTGAAGGAAATGGCCTGTCACTTCACAGAAATGTAAAGAAAAACACAATACACAGATGAGATGTAGAGATGCTGATTTTTCTATCAACCTGAGTATCATGGAGAGTTCTGGTAGACCAAATTGTCTATTAGTATACCCGTTTTGACTCAAGAATAAAAATTCTTTTAACTATATATGGAAAGACAACAAGAAAACATTACAATAGCGCGGCTAGAATACTGAAGAATGACGGAATAAACAATCAAGTTTTAGTTTTTATACTATTAATAGTTCAAAATTAAAATAGCGTTCAGTCTGTAGTCCAGCCCCGTTTATCCGGCCACCGAAGCGATATCAACATGCAGTGACCGCATTAACGGGGTAGCCGTTTCAGCCGGGAAGGACTGTGTGTGTTGTTTTAATTCACCGGGACATAAAAATCTGTTCGTTTTATAACGGAATGGCCTCCTTAAGCGGGTGACCGTTAGGCCGGATTCCACTATATAGTAATGTCACTAATAATCCAATTAGCGATGAAGACTTATTCACTCCAAGAACAGTTTTAATGTGGAAATGTTGGACAAGTGATCTCTAGCCTAGAGGCCGCGTAAACAGGGCTTGACTGTTTTCGTTTTTGTTTTGTTTTTTGTTTTTTTGTTTTTTTGTTTTTTGTTTGTTTGTTTGTATGAGTTTTTTTTATTTTTTTTGGGAGGGAGATATTTAAACTGCTTCCCACTTCGATTACAAAACAACAAAAAACTTCCTACAGCAAATGCACCACTTGAACGACCTTGAAAATTGTTTTTGATGYTTGAATAAAGTACCCTTTTAATCGCAATGGTACTAATGATATGATCTAGAGTTACACTTGAAAACATCTGGAGGTTTATAGGGACCTTTATAGGAAACTCAATACCAATTCTAATATAACAAAGTCACTAGTCATGTGCACTTTAACCGATTACACAAATATAGAACAGTAAAAATCCACATTTAAGGACCCTAGTTTTAAAAGCCTGTTGGGCTAAAATGCTAGATTAGGGTTTTTTACGTGGAGGTATTGAGAAAAGTGGTCAGCTTCCCCTTATTGCTCACCAGGGTGTGTCACAGAAATCTTTTAACGAACGGGTTTAATGACTTCACTCTAAGGTCAAACTAGTTTCCATCGTTCTTATTATGGAGTGTTACGTAAATATGGGAACTCAGTCAAGAACCTTCGTTGACTAGATTTTACTTGATCTAGCCAGTTCATTTTATTTTTCGTTTTCATCCATTTTCATCCATTCCCATGAGATTCAAAAGATAAAAACTGGCGGCCATGTTGGAGGAATGAACAATTGATACTAATAGAAATCCTTTGTTGAAATTCCTCCAAGATGGTCGCTGTGACGTAACTTGAAGATGAAGAATATATCTGCTTAAGATTAGGTTTTATGTCTCCTTTTACGTGGGATTTTACGGCTTTCTAATCGATCAAACAACACGAAACCTTTTATTGCCAAGGCCAAACAGTTAATTGAGACACGATATGAAAATTTTAGTTTGTATCAGTGGTTTATTACAACCTCCTGACTAATACGTCTCGACTGTGTCACGTACACTTTACTTATCCTGATGATTTTATCTTTAATAGATACTGATGTTAAAATGGTCTAGATTACTTTGCGATACGACTAGATTCGACTCTGAAATCGAATTTGCGACCTTATGCATTCAGAGGTTTTCTTCTCTCATTCCACACTGCATTCTATAATTGCCGGAGCAATTTTTCGACTTTCAATATGCCAAAATAAGCCGTGACTGTTAAGTTTTTTGATCGTTCACTTATTTGATTGAATATTATTAAAAAATGTCAGCCTGGATTACTAACAGAGCACCTGATTCTGTTAATTGAAGCGGATTATTTTCTACATTGCGTATTCCGGTGTTGTAAATAATAAAGGTATTCCTATTCCAACTAAATATTTTTAAAAGTATGTCTTTTCATTATTGTTACTAGCAATGCGAGCATTCTTAATACTTGATTCATTTTTTGTTGTTGAAATGTTCTGTATTCCATAACGTTTTGCTTCAAACATTTGTATATTATAATTACACAATATTTTCCTCCTGTATTCCAAATTCTGCGCCAACCCCGAGTCAGACACTACGGACTAGATTCGTCAATTTGACATTTAATTGATTCATTGCCCCATTTATCAAGGAAGACTTATAAGATGTATATACTGAAAATGGATTTTTTAGTTCATCGTTGAGGTAAAATGATAGTTTTGCGCAATAGGAGGGAACAGAGAAAGAGTCACTTCAGGAAATTACGCGAAGGAATAAAAAATAGGAAGTTGTCTATAAATAAAGCTTATTAAATGATTCGTGAAATCTGCTTGATTGATTACAAGGTCTGCCTAATAGTGACTATGGATTATTCTTAGGAACTGGTGGGCATCATGTAAAATGACTTGTCGGATCTATTTCATTAAAACACCATTTTTTATTTTCTAAAGCACCACAGACAAATGTCTTCTAATAAACCACAATTTCTCAAAAACTGATAAATAACTACAACCACGTAGTGTAGTGAAAGTCAAAAGGAAAATGATTCTATTTTGGATTTTCAATTAGGCGTTTTTATAAAGCTGAAAAAAAAACGCAATGACATATTGAAAGTCTTTGCTGTTTTTCGTCGGAAATTTTAGGATACAACTGTTGGCAAAAACGTTGACCAAAATAAAAAAAAGAAAACGAAAAATACAACAACAAAATTAACTTTATACATGCGTTGGCTGAGGTATCCAAAAAATAATCATAATGCAAGTTTTATGACTAAGTGATGACGGAATCACACATAAATTTCAATGAGCATTAATTATTATTTTTTTCTTATATTGTGTCATCGCTTTTGAAAACAGAAAAACAAAATGTTGTATGCACGGGATATGCTAATCAATAATTTTTTCCGAGCTAAGACAAACTTTGTATTCCCTAAGACCTAAGGTTTAAATGTAAATTATATAAGTTAAATTGTGCTTTCTTTTGTGTTTGGTAAGTTCTTTGCGTAAGAGAACCTACTATCAAATAAAACAGTGGTTACTCACTTTTAAAAATTGAGTACTCTAAATGCGTTTATTTTCAATTGTTCATTTATTAAAAATGCTTGGTAATGAATATAAAAAAAAGAACAGAAAGCTATAAGAAAGGAAATACAAGAGAATAAAACGACACCCACACGTCAAGTAGCTCAAATTTCTTGGAGGAACTGGAAGTAGATCTATCAAAATACAATTCACAGTTGGATTTCCCCGTAAAAAAAATGATAATATAACGTGTCTTTATACACATACTTCAAAGATCCCTGTGAAAACAACCAATTTTAATGCCAATTTTTCATTACAGCTTACTGAAGCTAATAACTTTTTTCTACAAAATCAAGCCAGATTCATTTTAAAAGGTTTTTGGTAATTTGTGGTGCATGCAGTCTTTTTAAGTAATAGAAGAAGCGCTAGCAATTATGATAAGACAAGGCATCAAAACTCATATAAAGTTCTTTTTTATTATAGCTCAAAGTTGCGATATCGTATTTATGGTTATTTATGGTAAGAGGCCTTTGTCGATCGCAGAACTTAATTTTTCCTGAAGGAAACGAAGTTTCTATTTTTACACGTGCACTTTCAAATGAAAGGAACAATTTTAATGCCAATTTTTTATACAGCTTGCTGAAGTCGATAACACAGAAAGGACGGAAGTTCTTTTCAAGAGGATCAAGACAGCCCTGGTGTTCACTGTCATTCAAATTTTGGTGGGAACTAGCGGTAAACTGGTGTGAGCTGCGTCGGTGCTTCTAAAGAAATAGTTGTGTAAAAAGATAAATTAAACACAGTAAAATAGTAGGTGAAATAACTTACTAACGTTTCGGACGTTAATCCTTCGTCGGAGTAATTAATTTATCTTTTTACAAAACTGTTTCATTCAAATTTTGTTGTGTAATCAAATTAACAGAAGAAACAATTACGATACGACAAGGCATCAAAACTCATATAAAGTTATTTTTTATTATTCCTAAAAGTTGCGATATCGTATACATGGTTATTTCTATATGRTGTAAGCCCTGAGTCGAACGTCGAACTTAATTTTTCGTGAAAGGAAACCGGCAAGTTTTCTAATTTCTTAAACGTGCGGAAGTCATTGTATTGAGTCCTTTTGCAGTGGAGCGACACACTTTTGCCGTATTTCCGTTGCTCTATAAATTGCAACTTTGCAACGCCTTTGCAACTTTAATTTCGTATATGTGATCACTCCTTTCCAGTTAATTTAGCCCTCTGTCTCTATTCCTTTACAACTTTTTGCATATATTTCAAACTTATTTATCTTTTTTTCATTACAAGCACTTTATTTTGTCAACTAAAAAACTAGCAAACTATAATTTGCCCTTAGAAGCCCCCCACTTTATTACTCTTTATTTGTATAATTTTTATGTGSCAATACACATTACTGCATGTTTATTACACTTTGTTGCACGAGGAAATGAAAACCAAACTATCAGAAGGGCAAACGCCGAACTTAATCCGTGTTCAAATTCTTTATATAACCAAGATTTCAGGAACTTTGAAAGCCAAACTGTTTAGGGACATATGGTATATTTGATGTTCATGGTAAAGGCATATCAACTATAAATAAATACGAGAGAACTGCACAGTGCTCAAAGTCGCAATTATTGCAACGGAAGTGTCACTCCTAATGYAAAAACAAGGACTTTTACATGATAAATAATAGCAACTTAATTACGGTTTGCAATGATTAAATTCGACGTTTTATCCAGGTCCTTCAACAGCATGAAGGTTTCTAATAGTTCATTTGAAACTTCATCTAAGGTAAGCGATATAATACTAATGACATTCAATACTGATGTTATTATTATTTATTATTTTACAATACTACATCCATTCYCTTGGAAGCTTATATGTAGGGATGTTCTTAAAAAGAAGGGGGTATACGCCCCCTTCCCTCTCAGCGCTAAAAGCCACCTGTTTCATAGGTTGGATTAACCTTGATGACCAACGGCCTACTGCTAGGTTTACTATGAGTTTCTTCAATGTTCGCTAAAAGCGTTCCATTATTCATCACAGGGTTCTCGCTTTGCCTCTCAACAGGCGTGTAATATGCTTGATCTTGGTTAAGAAGAGGTGTAGAATTTCTCCGTCGATCAGGATTTTGAAGAGCCTGATTGGACTTATGTACAGTTGTAAGGTTTTCACTAGCATCTAAACAGCAATTGTCTCCATTGCAATGCAAGTGGCTTGAAAACTCTCGTCTAAACTCGGAATTTACGAGGCTATAAATGATAGGGTTGACTGAGCTATTTGATATCAGCAACAAACAGGAAATATTAAAAACCAAGCGCGAGTATTTAAAAGAATTCAAAACATCTCTGCTGCTAAAGACAGCGAAGAAACGAAAAGCGGTAAAAGGCAACATAGAAAGAGCAAACATAATTAGCACTGGCGTTAGGATTTGAACTGCGCGACGATTTTGCGATAAACGGGAGACATTTGCTCTTGCCGAAGGATGTCTGCACAGTCTGTAACTGCTCTGCCTCTTTGTATTAGCTTTTAATACGCCCCTTATCTTAACATATGTAATTAGAATGACAGTCAATGGAATAATATAAAACATCAAACACCCATTAACGCTGAACAGTTGTTCAGATATCTTGTTTGGCCAAAGTGGGACGCAGTCCAGGAGATTTGGACTTCTTATCCGTAAGTCCATCACAAAGATCAAAGGAGCAACGATAAAGATAAACGAAATAAACCATATAATGAAAACGATTTTCTTGGCGTTGTCTATTGATATTTGAGGCTTTGTACAATGGACTAGCATTTTATAGCGGTGGAAGGCAATAGCTGTAATGCATCCAATCTCAACTCCATAGAAGATATCACTGAATGGGTAAATAGCTCTGCAGATAAATTTACCAAATGGCCATGAATAGGGAAACTCATCTCGTATCACCACAAATGGAAAGTTAACAAATAAAATGCCAAGATCCGCTATTGCAAGGTGCATTATGAATAAGTTTCCAGTTGACGTCTGACCACGCTTCCGAGAAGTCACTAAACACACTAAAAAGTTCCCTGTCACTCCAACAAGGAATGTAATTGTTAATAAAAACAGTCTTACAACTCGAAGTCCGGGAGGCTCATGGTAAAATGTTGAATGTTCTTTCAATTTTGTTTGATTAGCGAAAGAAATATTTGCAAAAGTATCGTTCGAAACAAACATTCTTTCGTTTACCTCTATTCTTTCTTTTACACTCCGTCTGTTTCAGCAGTTACAGTTTCTTTTGTAGTTAAGATGTAATTCCTTGGTCTTTTTATAGTTATCCTTTGTTCAGGCAAATCTTTAAGTTAAGTGTTTTGCGGTGGAGGAGGAAAGTCGACTGGAGATCTTTTCGCAAAGCCGATTATTCACTGCTCACTTAGCTTCAGGTTGAATTTCTTCCGTCCAATTTAACCACTGTCGGCACACTTTGCTCTAAAATTCATTAAAACAGCAGTGCAGATAATTCAGATGAGAAGCAAATGGTCTGATTATTTTTAGCACAGACAAGTGTTGTCGATGATTCTCATTGGCACCTCGAAAGAAAAAAAAAGTTGAAATTGCTAATTTGGCAAGTACACACATATCAATTCTATCTAAAAGTAAAAATGATACGTTCTGAGCAACACCTGTTGTTACTTGCAATAAACGTTTTGATTAGAAAGATATCAGYTGTCTTGATGTTGAAAAATAACTACCTCAATAATATTGCGCTTATCAAAATTTTTGCCTACGCCAAAATGTCGCCCCTAAATTCATAATAGACGAAAAAATAATCTATTTTCGCAGGTTAGGTCTTACAAATTTTTGACGAGGGTTTGATAGAAAATCAATTCGATTTTGTACCAGTCAGTAAACTACATTGATATATGCAATGCTAGTAATTTTGGAGTTGCAACGGGAGGTCAAAGCTTAATAATTGAAAAAGGAAAAAACTACAGATATTAGCGTCTGAAAGACCTTCAGTTCGAGCAAACTCGCAAGGCCTTGCCTAGTCAAAGCAAAAGGGAAAAGGTAGCAAACCTATATGCCTCACATGCTTTAAGTGAAGAACATATAAAAGTGCTTTAAGCTTGCATTATGAAAAAAAGCTACTAGAAACTGAAACATCAGAAGCTCTTCTGAATGCTGTTTGGTTTAACCACACACTTCAGCCTTCGCGGCTGCAAAAAACAAAGAGACATGTTTGGGGTGACGTGTAGCTTTGCAAAAACTCATCACGACACGAATATTTAGAATTTCATGGGATCTCATGAAAGGCAAACTAAAACTCGAATCTGAAAYGATCCCAAGGATATCCAACAGGTATTTCCAAAAGTGTTTTCGGTCCTAAGCAGTGTAAAATACCCAGTGTTGGCCTAAGTTGTACGCCGAAATATGACCCGCGGGAATGAATCATTGAGACTAGTTTACTTTATCATTAACGACTTTCCATACTCAGGTTCAGTGACCATGAACAAAGCATCGAACCGAGGCGTCAAGGTAAAGTGAGCATAAAAGAAAAGATCTGCGATCAGTGTACCTTGACGCCTCGGTTCAGTGCTTTGTTCATGGTCACTGAACCTGAGTATGGAAAGTCGYGAATTGAAAACCTCTTCAGTTGACTTCAATTCGTTGTAACGACGTAGTCTAAGGTCCAGGTTATACGCCGAATCGTATAATCGCCGAATGTGAGGAATACAATTGAATAAATGCATGATATTCAACAGTGTTGAATTGAAGTCGAATCGAATTGAAGTCGAAGTCGAATTGAAGTCGAAGTTCCAAGATACAGCAATATTGCGGCTGTTGTTAATACGCATTAAGGCCGTGTTTATATGGGTTAGGGTGCTACTAGGTGGTAGGGATAACTCCTTTTTGGTTGCTTGAAAAATCCTTTCAGTGAAAAGAAAACAAAAGAAGATAAGACAATATCGATCTGTTATATTTTTGAAATCGCTGGAAAGAATTCCGCAAGAACGTAAAGCGTCCTTTATCGGACATACTGAAAAGCTCATTAATTTAGATGGGAATGCGATTTATATTCGAGCCTTTAAATTCGACGTCTTTAAAGTGGACTAAATAGGAATTGTATTCGGCACGTATGAAGTTCGTCGTAAWATCTAAACCTTAAAATCAGATCTTTTAGAAGGTGCAAAGATTAAGTCTGAGTTTTTGGTTGAATATGCATTCTGTCCTATTCTAAAATGGGGAAATGTGTTAACGCTTTAGGAAAAACAGCAATCCAGAAGGAAATTTCACATAATTATATCGACAGTCAAAATTAATGACAAAATATAGGGAAAAAAATTTCTTGCCCACATAAACTGTTTTAATCCAGAAAATTCATTCTTGCCCCAGGGCTACTAAGAAAAAGCGTCATTTTCTCATTATCTTCTTAAGACGCACTAATAAGCACAAACTGGTCTCTTCTCAATAGCAGGGCCGGGTTGTTCAAAGCCTAATTCGGGTTAATCAAGGGTTAACTCCACAGGTTTTTTAAGATTGGCCCAGAATTAACTTTAATCGAGCTTTGAACAACCCGGCCCAGGAGTTCATATATTATATCATAGCAGTTTGTTATCATATATGATGTACATGACGTCCGTCCTTTTCATCTCATGCGGTCTTAACTGCACATCTTTAAGTAAAACTAAAGAGAACATGCCACAGGCAATGAGAAAAAAAATGAAATAATAATAATGTTCTAAAATGAAAAAAGGAAGAAAACAATAATAGTGTGCCAAAGTGTTGGGGAAATAATTTGTAGCTSGTATCAAATTTTCAATTGATTATATTAACCAAAAACTATTTATTGCAAGGAAGTGTTCTTTTTAAAGAGATAATTATGCTTTAGAAATCGGCTAAAGCTTGATAAGCCGACCTGTGTCTCCAAAAAGGTATTTTGAGAATCCTTGGTTAAGTAACAATGCGCGCAAAAAGCAGGCAACTTTCTATTGTTCTGCGACAATTGCAACTTCCCCACATACGAATGTCTTGGTTTTCACACTGATTATATATCAACCTATGGGTATCAGATTTCTAAAATAAAATGTGAATAAACTCTGTTTTGAAACAAAGTTTCTTTTGTATTAAAATATCTTTTCCAATCATAAGCACTCAAAATAGCSAAAAAATGCTTCTAATTTTCTAATTTGCTAGCTTCCCTACATAGAATTGCTATTAATATTAAAGCTAAGGAAAGCTCTTATGAAGTCGGAATCAGATATTAAATAAAATATTAAAAAATGCGCTTACTTTTGAAATTATGTTAAATTTTAATGTTTTAACCAATGAGATGGATGGATTATACAATACAAAACTAGCACCTGCATGCATCCTTCTTACTCGGACAATTACTTAATATTGAACACTTATTGATTGGTCCCGGGGGAAACAGTGTTGCTTCATGTGAAACATTGAGAGCGCTGTCGCAAAAATCAATATAAATAAATAAACAAACATAAAAATGTATTTATTATATGACCTGTATTTGTTTATTAAAAAAACGTAAGAAAATGATGGCGCAAACTACTGAGTCAGAAATAGATACCAGTCAGTTAGGTAAGACCATATCCGCCCATATCTAACAAACCGAATAAAAACCTTCGTACTATTTACCGTTGTTCTGCCTTTTTTAAGGAGGCCTCATGCTAAAATGCTTATTGTTGACTGAGTTTGGTGGGACATAATTAATAGAGGGAAATGGTTTGGAAACCTTTTGTTGTACTTCTTTTGTACATCTTTTGTATGTATTTTGAGGTTGCATCAGCCATGATCGTGCATACATTAACTTTTTTCTTAAGGACGATGGAAATTGCAAAATGAGACTCTCTATGAGATCATGAAATGAAATAATTCAATATTGGTTAAAAGATTTTGTGAATTTTGAAGAAATAGTCAAAAGAATAATTTTTGCACTGTTCATTCAGATGTGACCAGTATGGCTAAAACAATAGTTAAATAAGATTGTGCGAGGTCGAGCTTGGAAAATTGTGTACAAAAACCTTCAACAAAACGATTCCTAACCRTGTACCTTTACAAACTATGTTCGAAGAATTGACAATAGATACTAATGAGAAATCCTTTGTTGAAGTTCAACCAAGATGGCCGCTGTGACGTATATTGTATACGAAGAATAACAAGTTCTATCTGTTGAGCAATAATTTAGGCATATAAATATATGCCTAAATTTGTTCAAGGATTGACGCTGAGGTACTAGACTGCAAGAATAATTAGTGTATGTTTAAATTTGTTCAAGGAAATTGACGCTGAAGTACTAGACTAGAAGAATATCTATATTGATGCTTAAATTTGTTCAAGGAAATTGACGYTGAAGTCGGTACAAGAATAAAAGAATATTTATGTCGCTCTTAGTTCTCCTGATAATACTAACCAGAACATCCCAGCACCAATTATCTGTAAGTTTTGTCGCAGGATCGATTTTTCTAATTAGAAAATTCAAAACCCCATTTTCAAGAGGAAGTCAGTTTACCCGAGGAGCTACAGGGAGGTCGAGATCTAGAGATCATTTATCTCTATTGATACCAAATTTATTCTATGATTTTCTTACCAACTTAAATTATAAGTATTTTTAAATTAAAATTACACATTAAAAAGTGTCTCTACCTAAGAGCTTTATGAAAGGAATCATTAATTGCAAACGTAAAATACGGCAAAAAAGACTTAACTGCCAGTTTTGTAGGATATATTAGTTGATCCAAGCTCCCCTAGATGAACTAAATCCTTCAAAACTAGTTTTTAACCTCTCTAGTAGTATTTAACGTTTGCAATCAATAATGCTTTTAGAATAAGAATTCATCGGAACTTTTTTAACATTGATTATTCACTGTATCCTTGTTATTTTGCCTACCTGTCTAAATTGCGCCTAAAAGCGTCACTTCAACTATTACCGCATTATGGATGCAGTATTGTTTTGACTCACGGTCAGTTCAACAATATTATCGCTGGTCATTTTATGTCCGGAAGGTCTCTTCCGAAAAACAAGAGTTTCTTAAAAAAGACTTCACGGTTTTGTGAGCTTCAGTTATTTTTTTTATCATTATCTTTAGTTATTTTATTTAAAAATCTTAATTCAGCGCAAAATTATGATAGTCACTCAAGTACAATATATAAGACGAGCAGCTAAAAACACAAGCGATATAGTGATTTAGTTCTTCTTAAARGTACCTATATATAAAGGTACGTCAGTCATTGGTTATGTCATATTCGGTATATATTACGCGCTCTTGGATTTGTCGAAAATCTTGTGTTATTTTTGTTGCACACGCAAGGATAACGCAATTTCATTTAACGAGCGCTCTAATTGTTCAGAACCATCTTGCGCGCTTTATTGTTTCAATTGAATTACGAGCKCTCGGGAAAAAAAATTAGAAGAAAATATAATATAAAATCAATAGATTCCATTTTTCCGAGCGTCGATCTGTGCTCTAAAGACCTGTTTACACTACGATTTTTGCATCGCCAAAGTTTCAAACATGCCTGAAAATTGGCTGCAACATCGCGGCGATTTTCCATTGTCGCAACAGTCATAGGGCTGTTTACACGTACGATTTGAGTTRGCATGATAGCAAAGCGGCGATTATCGCGCWGCAAAAATCGCAAGTATAAACGGGCCTTAATATATACACGCAAGAATCGCAACAACAGAGACTCCCGACATCGTCTCGTGGTGTACTTTTTTTCTCGTCACATTTTGACGTGATCTGTGTATCTATTAGAGTACAGAGACGCATGGAAAAATGGAATAGATTTGTTAAACAATGATACGTGGGTCCGATTATGTATTTACGTGTTACCTGCCATAATCAGTCTGGGTGTCCTTAATCCACTTCTTTTATATGCGGGGTCTTACGTTATACTCTAAGATAAAATTCCGAGATTGTCCGAGGAGCGTCTCGATTTTCGGCCATCACTTATCAAAGTCATTGCATACAAAAGCTTGTATCAATTTCCAGTGATCACGCTCCCAACAATGCCCGACTTTTAATAGCACCCGATTTGAACATTTTTCCTCATTCAGAATCGGCTAAAATGTCGATTATTATCATTGGATTTATAAAAAAATAATATTTAAGCTTAAGGAAAATCTTATTGATTTTGAAAAAGTATAAAAACTAAGGGGTTCAAAATTCGATTTTCTGAACAAGGTTGCGTACCTACACAACACGTTTTAAACTCTCGGTCACCACCTTGGGTAATACAACGTCTCTATATACTCCTTTATGCATGCCCATATTGTAATATTACCGCAACATTCGAAAAGAGCGGAAAATCTGCTAGATTTTGATATATAATTTGCCTATGTTTTAAGGGGTCAAAACACGACGAAAGCTCGAGCTCTTTCACTATTATTTTGCTATTCGTCGCCGATCTATTAGATCTATTGACGCCTCGGGAAGCTTTGAATATGGCCCAAATACATGCGAATATTCGGCAAATGACTCTCYTTTTTTCCGTTGMAATATCAACAAGTAAATATAAACAAATTATTAAATAAAATTAACAAATTTGATTCCTTTTTTTACTCAAATATGCTGAGACAATAAAATTGTATTATTTACAGCTATCTTGTCTACACAATCGCAAGAGAAARTAAGAGCGCTGTTGATTCGTATGTGCTGAAATGATAAATAAATTATTTTATAATGACCTTGATATTTTGTTACTGTAGAATAAAAATAAAGAACTAGTAGGGCAGAAGATAGAAATAGAAGAGACATTTGTCAGTCTGACGCTAATTAGAGCAAATGTTCAAATTTACAGTGAATGACTTTGATTAACTCACAGCCTGATACGGGAAGTAAAAATAACTAAAATCATCAATCATTCAAAAACAAATCAATATTGTAAAAATCCTTTATCGCCTCGTAAAACGAAATTATATATCTGAATTTGAACTTAAAGGCGATTCAGGCTTTGCAAGTCGGGACCACGACTTCAGTTCTTACAATGCCGATGAGGAATCCACTTTACGAGAAGTCCATACCTTGAATTGTTAACCGAAAGGGAGCATGGGAAAGCAAATATTTTGTGCATAATAGTGTTTCTGTGCAAAAAGGATTGGCGTCTGCACTGAATGAAATAGCCTTCTGTACGATTAAATGGTACAATGCGATATGTTTAGGCAAATATGATTCGAATTTCTGAGTACGCAAGATGYCTTGCAGCTTTGATTAAATCACATTTTAGCGACCCGGTGATGATGAGGATGATGTAGCGGCGAAAGCTCGGATTCTTAAAATATATTTGTTCCATCACAGCAGCCCTGGCTACATTTGTATATATTTTCTTCATCTTGAGAAAGACTGTTATAGTTACCTGACGTTTTGACATCCTGCGTGGAAGTCATCTTCATAGTGAGATAACGAATAGACAGTGTCGGTATAAATGCGTAAGGATTTATTTACAGTCGGAAGTGCGTGGGCCTTATTAGTCATATTTTGAGCGGTAAGAGTTGGTCCATTGTTTGTTTCCGTGGGTTTCAGGTCGTTAATTTATAGTCTTGTTTCGCTGCTGGAAGTATTGGCGTTTACCTAAGCGAGCAGGAGACTCGGTACTAGTTATCTAAATTAACCTAATTAAAAAATAATCATATCATTGGAAAGACCACCACAAAATAAACAAGATTCCAAAGTTTGGTTTCTTTTGGTTAAATAATGTGTAAGTAATGGACCTTCAAATTGTTCGAAAATTACAAGGAAATATATGTATGGTTTGGATGGGTGTTCAACCAGTACATACATATCTTTGTAATTTTTGACAATTTTGAAGGTCCATTACTTACGCAYTGTTTAACCAAAAGCAACCAAACTTTGGGATCTTGTTTATTTTGTGGTCGTCTTTCTAACGACATGATTATTTTTTTAATTAGGTTAAAGTACCCAGTCTCCTGCTCGTTTAGTTAAAGGCCAATTGAGAAACTGCATAATTGAGTGGTTGTTATTGTAAGKTAGTGTATGATCTTTTCAATACGCCGGGTTGGTGAAAATAAGAGTAATGTGTAAGGAGGGTGGCAGAGTCTATGCCAGGCCCAGCTAGTCTGTAATGTTCGGCTATGTGATTGTTAAGGCCCGTTTAYATTTGGATTTTTTGCGGGGCGATTGTCGCGCTATAATCGTTACTTTGTTCTCGCGCACCTCAAATCGCGCTTCAAAAATTGCAAGTGTAAACGGGCCTTTACGGTCTTGGTTCTTAGTAGCATGTTTGAGTCCGTTTTCAAATTTCAACCAGTTTGGCCTGATTGGTAGAGTAATAGTGGACTGTGCAAGCTATTTTGTAAACAGCTCCTTGTCAGTCTTGTTGGAGGTCTTTGTCTTTAACTTTAGTCAAGAAAACGTCTTAAAAAAATCAAGATGGGTATTTCTGTATGTTGTATAGGTGAGGAAGACGCTGGAAACTAGCGGAAACTAGTGTGAGCTGCGTCGGTGTTTCTAAAGTTTAAACAGTTGCGCAAAAAGATAAATTTTAACTACGTAAAAAGTAGGTGAATAAACTCACTGACGTTCCCGACGTTAATCCTTCGTCGGAGTAAAGACCTACTTTTTTTTCAACCTACTTTTTTACGGTTTTATTTATTTATTTTTTTTTTTTTGCGCAACTATGGGTGTAAGAGGCGTTGTATATTCTCAGAGGTATCTCTGTTGTATGTTATGGTGCCGGTAGCCGTAGGTTAACAGCAAACTCTGTCAGAAGGTGCATGAGTTGTTGCAAAAGTTCCGTTTGACAAAACTCAAAACATTGACTAACAAACACGCGCTTCCGACTGTAAAAATATATATACTTAGACGGACTGCGTCTTTGCAATATCCTGAGATGACTTCCACGCAGAATATAGAAACATTAGATAAATAGCATAGGCAGTCTTTCGCACACCGGAGGGTGATAATAAACCTAAATATACACTGTAAAAACTGCCTGGTTGAAACTAATATCAATCATGAATACTCAATTTTCGAATTCAAAGCGAATAACAGCTGTTTTGTTTGACAACAGATTCTCTTACGCAAAGAACTTACCAAACACAAAAGAAAGCACGAGAAAATGTTGTAAGTACAATAGCCCTAGCAATTAACATTTTCCCCGAGTTGAGGCTAACCCTGTATTCCCAGAAGTCTCGTACCTAATGCCTTATGGGAATACAGGGTTAGTCACATCTAGGGGAAACTGCAATTTTCAAGTCTATTGTAATATCGACATTTTCTCGTGCTCTCTTTATTTGTGTTTGGCCAGGTCTTTGCGCAAATGAAGCAGCAGTTTTTCGCTATGAACTCGAAACTGGAGTATTATGACTTACACAAGAGTTAAGGGCCATAGTCCACCGCCATCCAAGATTTTGTTTATGTTAATTAAAATACATCGTGATTTAAGCGAAGAAATTACTCTTTATTACCTTTATGCTCTATGCATGGAGATATTGTAAGATTCTATCTTAAAACCGAMAGATGGAAACGGTAATCGAATTGAATACTGGACAATGTCCCTTTAAGCCCTTAAATTCTGTGGCAAGCGTAATCGTTTTCCGGTTATCTGGAGTAATGAGAGCTGGAACAAGTTTCACTTTTCATCATGCAGTAGCTGTGATTTTTCATAGACAAACTATCAGTTCTACTTAGTGACTATCAGGTCTATCGAATTTTGACTTGGGTATACTTTACTTACAACGTTTGACTTAAACCTCTTCCTCATTGCTCGTTCATTGACTTAGGAGTTWTCATTACTAGAAAATGCATGAAAAGATCACATGGTACTAATAAATCCGCCATTCTGGATGGCAAGAGAATATAAACAACCCCCAAAAGGAACGCAGCCCGTCAAACTTGACTTTTCTTTGTTTTGAACATCCCAGTGGGTATTTTGCCATCCATCATGGCGGATGTTGTACCATGTGACCGTTTCATGCAAAAGACCTATTGTCTTGTTCATAACACCAAGATGAGGCTCTTTAGACTCTCATAGGATCAAAAGGTCCATTTTTATCGAAAAACCTTTCAGTGATTTTCTCACATACCAAAATTCGCCATCTATAATTTTATTTCTTTTAATTAATTATCAATCAGAAAGCATCCTTCAGCAAAAGATCATTTGTAATACCACCGCAAAGGKTCTTGGATGCACGGGCGTCTTTACAGAAATCCTCAATATAATTTTGAAGAAACATTCCCATTAGCTATGCTAAAGCGTTTACCAACAAGTCCGCATATTTCAGTTTCGAAACCACAACACAGTTCCTTTAGTTAAGCCTTGTGGTTCATTCGAAACTGCATTACCAAAAACATGGATGACCAGAAGACTCTAACACGGGATAAGTGGAAAAGAGGGAGATTTGCTTGAGCATGCGCTAAAACCGCTGACACGTGTCTGCATAATTGCAGTAACAGTTATAAATATTAAAAAGACATACAAAAATGAACAGATCAGTCTTAAAAGGTTTGTTAGTTCGTCTAAATGAAAAGAACGCTCAGCATCACAGGGAACAATTTATTATCGAGCGATAAAGCACTATGACACTATCTACTACTTATCGTGTATAAATTGACCTAAAGCTCAATGTTTCCCATTTTTTAAATAATTTGGACAGTAGGACAATATAAGTGCGCCGGTCGAAAACAAATTCCAACATAATTTAAGAGTTGACAAGTTTTGATAGCAGCTCAAACAGCTAAAATCGCCAAAGTAATTCCGACTGAATATCTCTGTCAGAATAATGACCTTCAACATGATTAATTAAACAAATATAATTAAATTAAATATAATTAARCAAATATAATGCTAGAAATTTTAAGCTTACCTTATTCCTTCACTAAAAAATTAAGCCAATTTTAGTTGACGACAAACAACATCGTTTAAATAATCAGTTCATGGCGTAAATGTCTAACTTTATATACTTGACTATGAACTAACTGACGCAACGCAAATGACTCATACGCACAAAAAAACTCTCTCGTGCTGATAAAGCGGACGTGTTTTGCGTTTAATTGGCCAWAACGGTAATGACACGTAGCCAATCAGTGAAACTACGCAGAATTTCGMAAAATAAACAATGTTTTAAATGGACAAATCTAATTGTTATTATAAAAAAATAATTCGCAGGCGGTTTTCCATTRTCTGTGCTCTTATTGACAATGAAATTGACGTCAAAAATGCTCAATACTTTGCAGTGAAACCGCTCGCTTACGCTTGTGGTTCCACTTGAGTTTTGAGCATTTTTGACGTCAATTTCATTGTTCAGAGGTTCTTTGTATGCATGCATTTGTTTAGAAATAAAGACTTCTACAAAATCACGACATCAAAGTTCCTGAGAAACCCATCAATGCCATCAAAAGTATGATATCTAAACCTAAAGACAAGCTAGAAGACGGCAATAAGACCGCAGTCATCTATGTGATTCCTTTCGGAGAAACCAAGAAGACATTGGAAGCTAGACTGTCCGAGCATGAAAGAAATGTAAGGCTAGGGCATACGGAAAAAAATCTGCGTTATCTGAGCATGCCAATAAACTAGACCACTGCATTAACTGGAACGGTGCTTCTATTTTGAAGAACGAAGGGCGCTGGCACGAGAGGAAGTRGCTCGTCGAGGCWGTATTAATCGCCAAGAACGGAAAGGAAGATGAGAATGTATTATCGAATAGGGGCAATGGTAAAACGTTACCAGATAGCTATATACAATTACCTTTTTAAAAGTCGATTTAGATATTACCGTTAGCTATGTGTATTACGTGTACCAACAACCTCGAAAATAGCCGCGTAGGCCGAAATCTTGGTTTAAAGATTAAAACCTTATATACGCAAAAGAAGCAGTACAGACAATGGAAAACCGACTGCGAATTGTTAACCTTTCTATAAAAATTCTATATTGTAGATTCATTTGCAAATGTAATTGTTCCAGTCTGAAAAACATTAAGTTCTGAGGAAAGTGTAAACCAGTGTCATTTTGAAGAGATTTTGAAAAACATATATGAGTTGATGACATTTCTGTATACRTAATGAAAGTACATATAATGGAGATTTGAAAAATACAGGTTCTTGTTTGTTTGTGAAGGCGTGAGCCGTATCCATAGCAACAGCTTAAAAATGCTTTAAACTCTTATAACTCTTTAAAYATTTAATGTTTTAAATAATTTCTTCAAGAATCATACAGATAATATAAAAATGAAACTTTTTATGGTAGGATACCTGAAAATATGAAAAAAKAATAATTTCATGGATGTTAACTTTAGCGTAGCAGCTTCGTTACGGCCAACAAAGAAAAATCTCGAGGTATCCTACCATAAATCTTTTTAAAAGCTTTCAGTCTATAAGCCGCCCAAATATCTTTCGAAAATAATGTAATCTGAAAGAGTTATAAAGTTTAACAAACGGTGCTTTGTTAAAAACTTCGAATTTCTACGGAATATTGCACGATTTTTAACCCAAAGACGCAATATCCAGTCCTCAATTTGTTTCTCAAGTCACATTACGTCATATCGTGTGATTTATTGCCGATTTTCCCTTGAAAACCCGCCGAAATCGATCAAAGTCCTTCGAAATGGATCGGTCCTTGTTTCCCGTGAAAAGCAGTATATAAAC